TCAAGGAGTAAAACCTCTTCTCTTCCCCAAAACCGGAGCTGCCTGGATCCCGCTGGGGATGGAACCCCAGGGAGTCACACCCGCCCGGGGAGTTCAGCTCCTGCTTTCCAGTGGCCAAATTTTGCATCTGCCAGTTGGATCCCGGAGAGAAGAACAGGTTGCGGGACGATAAGACTGTCTGAGCGTACAAAATTACAAAGAATTAAAAACAAGTAATACCTGAACCCGTCGGCGATCGCCAGTAATACCTCAACCCGCTTCGCCTGCCCACCCGATCCTCTTGACGACGGGAGCAATTTCAGCTCTCGGCTCGACGGCTGCGAATATCGGACCGTGATTATCAAAAACGCAGCAAAAAAATTAAAATAAAATACAAATCCAAACGGGAGAAAAGGGAGTAAACCATCGGGGCAACCCGGCTCCGCGGCCGTAGGCATCCCAGCCCGACACCAAGCGCAACAGCCGTGACGGTGATGGGAAAGCAGCAGCAATCTGAGTTGGGTAAATATATTATTTGAAAGGCTGGAAGTCAGAAAACTGACTCCCACCAAGCTCGAGAGGATTCAAAAACAAGTATTGAAGTGTTTTGCTGCCACGGGGCCATACGGTGATGCTAAAGGAAACCCTTCCCAGCCCTCCTGGCTGCCTTTACTTGTGGAATCATGAATTAAAAAATAGGAAAATTTAATTGCTTAGCCTAGGTTTGAAAGATGCGCCGGGGGCCACAAGGTACGTTTTTCCGCAGAGCTAAAGCAGACTTACAAAGCCTAAAATGAGAAGAAACGCTAGGTTTTGCCTTTAAAAATTCCCACAGATTTTCTGATTGTTTTGGGTGGTTTTTTCGCCCCCCTCAAACGTCTCTAAAAATCACACGCGGGAACCGACCAGAGGCACGTGAGCAAAGACCGCATCCACGCAGGGAGAGAAACCTCCGACTCCCGCCCTGAGAACCTCTCCTGCCCTGCTCACGGTGACCCAACAACATCTTCATCTTTTTTTAAAGCTATAATTGTTACTGACACCCTCCCTTAAAGGATACGAGGGATTTTGCACTTTCTAGGTAGTCAAAGGACACGGGGAGCTGCCTCAGTGCCTCAGCCACGCCGCAGCGGTTTGGGAGATTTTAGGGCAGATCTGGGAAATGCAGGAAGCTCTTTGGTTTCCCAGATTGCCTACAACCTCCCCCAAACCCCAAGGAACCAGCTTCCTCCCTTCCCAGCTTTTACAAAAGAGAGATCATTCTTCAGGTTTAAAAAAAAAAAAGTTTGAAAAGGTGTGTTTTTTAAAAAAAAAAAAAAAGCAAACCGAGCAGATGTACAATATACAGAAGGAGGAATTTGCACGCGGCTCTGGAGGTGTCTTCTGGGGTGGCAGGAGGTACCTCCGAGGTCCCTGGTTGCAGCAGTGAGGGGCTCCGGCGCTTCGCGGGCAGGAGCAGGGGAGGGACGCGGCACCGCAGCGCCATGCTCAGTCCAGGAAGCGCTGGCAGGCTTTTTTCCACCGGCAGGCCGTGCACCACTGGTCCCGGTGCTCGATGCCGTACACCTTACGGCACTTTTTGGCTTCGCCGCGCACTTTCCTGCAAGGAAAGGGGGGAAAAAAGAAGAAATAATATTTATCTGCTCTTTGCAGAATTTCGTATGTCGGGGTAAGGCCCCGCAAACAGCGGCCAAATGTCATCCTGCCACTCGTATCGGGCCGGCGGGATCCTCACCTGGTGCCGAGGGACACCCTGGGCGGTGAGGCGACGATCAGGTGGGACTTGAGCATTGGCGTCGGTGGCTGGGGTTCGCTGAAGCTGAGCGACCGGCTCCGCACCTGCAGGAAATCGGGCGTCAAAGGGCACGTGGGACAACACAGACCCAGCGCCATGCAGGTGCTGGGACAGGGCAGTGAGGGGATAAGGGTGTCACCAACCCAGAGACCCCACAAATCCAGAAAGCAGAGATGAAGTGCCCTTAGCTCCCAGCCCGGCACCCCAAAAGGATGAAGGGAAACACGCACAGGACTCACCGGTGACAGGGACGGGAGAGTCGAGGTGGCAGTGGCCCAGCTGATGCTGGTGAAAATGTGAGGGGACACCGGGATTTGGATTGAGGGCAACGCCTGTGGAGGAGGGAAAAAAAAAAGAAAAAAAGAGTTAGCACTAGCTCTGGGGAGCCCCTGGTCCCACGTGCCACCCCACAGGCATTCACCTTCCTGGGAAGACCAGCCTGGAGCCCCCCCAAACTGGGAGCAGGACGGTAAACCCAACGCAACCTCTCCTCCCGTGCTGCATCCTGCTAACACAGGGCACAGCACACGTGTCATTTCGCCCTTTTTGGGGGGAACACAGCAGCTCCTTCGCTCCTGCAAACCGCTTTCGGTTGCAACGCCAAACCACACGCACCGCCCTGCTCTACATGTACGCATTTTTGCGCCTATTTACGCAGGCTTTCTGCTTTCAGATGCTGTCACATTTGTTTCCTGGGATGGGAACGGATATACATGCAGCTTATGGATCTATATACCCCACCCCTGCACTGGCTCGCAGCTCTCTAGAACAGCCCCTGGGGCAAGTGGCCACTAGCCCAGGGTGCCCGCGGGGCCAGCGCTCCAGGTTGCCAAGTTTCCTGCGCCTCAAAAGCCAGCGCCCCAGCGAGCGAGCGGCAGAGACGTGCAGGATCCGGCACGGCTGCATTCCAGCCCCGCACTATCTGCCGGCAGAAGGGCGTTGTTGCATACCAGCAGCGGGTAATCGCAGGGGAGCGGAGGCCGGCAG